CACTTCCTTTGCTATGTCCCAAAGGTTGTGGTATGATGTGTTTTCATTGTCATTTGATTCTAGGAATTTTTTTTTAATTCCATCTTTGATGTCTTCTATTATCCAATGGTTTTTAAGAAAGATGTTATTCAGCTTCCAAGTTTTTTATTTATTTTGTTTGTTTTCTTCCTATTAATATCTACTTTTATGGCATTGTGATCAGAGAAGATGCTTTGTATTATTTCTATGTTTTGGATTTTATTGAGGGTTGCTTAGTGGTCTAAAATGTGGTCTATTCTGGAGCATGTTCCTTGTACGTTGGAAAAGAATGTACACTTTGCTGCTGTTGGGTGGTGGAGTGTTCTATATATGTCTATGAGGTCAAGTTGATTGATTGTGGTCTTTAGATCTTCTGTATCTTTGTTGACTTTTTTTTAGATGTTCTGCTCTTTACTGAGAGTGGTGTGTTGAAGCCTCCTATTATTGTTGTGGAACTATTTCTCTTTTCAGTGCTGTTAGAGTTTGTTTTATGTATGTTGGAACCCTGTTGTTGGGTGTATAGATATTTATTAAGGTTATGTCTTCTTGGGGGATTGCCCCTTAATCATTATATAATGTCCTTCCTTGTCTTTTATGGTGAATTTTGCCTTAAAGTCTATTTTACTTGAGATTAACAGACACTCCTGCTGTTTCTTTGGTTGCATTTTGCTTGATATATTTTCCATCCTTTGAATTTTAATGTATTTATGTCTTTGTGTCTAAGGTGTGTCTCTTGTAGACAGCATATTGTTGAGTCATGTTTTTTAATCCATTTTCTCACTCCTTGTGTCTCTGTGGGTGCATTTAAGCCTTTTACATTCAGTGTGATTATCGATAGCTGTGAGTTTATTGCTGTCATTTTGTCGTGCTTTTTTTTTTCTGGTGCTGACATTTTCTTTGTTCCTCTTACTTTCCTGTGCTGAGTTCCTTTTGTTTATGGAACTTCTTTTCATTTATTTTATTTTTTAGATTTTGTGTTTATTAAGTCTTTATGTTTTTCCTCTTTTTTATTTTGGTGAGTAGGTTTGTTAACTATCTTTGTAGTTACATTGAAATTTACTCTTATCTTCCTAAGTTTAAACCAGTCATTTATTACTTGATATCACCTTGATTTACTCTTCATTTGAAAGTTCTATACCCATATCTTTTATTCTCCCTTTTATTTTTTGACATAGCCATCATTTACAGATTGATATCTCTGGTTCCCTGTTTTAAATCTTTTAGTTTTGTTTTATTATTGAGAGTTCTTTACCTAGGTTGGTATCTGGCTGATGCTATCTTTTGCATAGTCTCAGGTTGTTATCTGTGTTGTTGGTTCTCTATCTGAAGGACTCTATTGTTAGGTTTTAAGAAGATTTCAGGGGATATTTTAAGGTTTAAAGATTATTTCAGGGCAATAGTTCCAGGGGTTCATCCAGCCTTGATGTCTCCAGAAAGTCTAGAATCCATTGAGAATTTGAAATTTGTTCTGCATTTTCTCCCTTTTGATCAGGATTCTTCTACAGAATCTTTTATCAACATATTCAGTAATGGCAGTAAGGCCCCATCCAGTTCTTCTGGTCTCATGGCAAAGGAGGCAGTTGTTCATGGAGGCAATTAGCCACACATTCCATTTCTTCCACCGGAGGCCTCTTAATGCCTAGGTTCTGAATATGCACAGTGTCATTCTTAAGTACATACCATTGGCCAAAGCAAGTCACCTGACCAAGCACAGAGCCAAGGAATAGAGAAGTGCACTTTGTCCATGATGAAGCCATGGCAAGGGTGTAGAAGCAGGGAGGGATGAAGAATTGGGATCAAAATTTTAATTTAACATGAGGGATAAGATGTTTAAGAAAGTAAAGCAGGTATGTAGTGTTTCTTATTATTTTTCTCTTATTCAGGTTGTTGTTTTTAGGTGCCGTTGAGTCAGTTCCCACTCATAGTGAGCCTACGTACAACAGAATGAAACACTGCCCGGTCCTGCGCCATCCTCACAATTGTTGTTAAGCTTGAGCCCATTGTTGCAGCCACTATATCAATCCATCTCATTGAGGATCTTCCTCTTTTTCACTGACCCTCTAGTTTACCAAGCATGATGTCCTTCTCCAAGGACTGATCCCTCCTTATAATATGTCCAAAGTATGTGAGATGTAGTCTCTTCATCCTCGCTTCTAAGGAGCATTCTGGCTGTACTTCTTCCAAGACAGATCTGTTCATTCTTTTGGCAGTCCATGGTATATTCAATATTCTTCACCACCACCACAATTCAAAGGCGTCAATTCTTCTTTGGTCTTCCTTATTCATTGTCCAGCTTTCGCATGCATATGAAACGATTAAAAACACCATGGCTTGGGTCAGGTGCACCTTAGTCTTCAAGGTGATATTTTTGCTTTTCAACACTTTAAACAGGTCTTGTGCAGCACATTTGCCCGATGCAATGTGTCTTTTGATTTCTTGAAAGCTGCTTCCATGGGTGTTGATTGTGAATCCAAGTAAAATGAAATCCTTGACAACTTCAGTCTTTTCTCCATTTATCATGATGTTGCTTATTGGTCCAGTTGTGAGGATTTTTGTTTTCTTGATCTATGTACAGATTGCTCATGAGCACAATTAAGTGCTCTGGAATTCCCATTTTTTCACAATGATATACGTAATTTGTTATAATTCACACAGTCGAATGCCTTTGCACAGTCAATAAAACACAGCTGAAAGCTTTCCACCAGGGATGACCTGCTGGTATTTGAATACTGGTGGCATAGCTTCCAGCATCACAGCAACACACAAACCCCTACAGTACAACAAACTTACAGATGCATGGGAGTATTCAAGTTAGTAGGCCTAATTTTGGGCTGTATATGAGAACTTTAGGGTCATAGCGTGTCATGGTTTGAATTATGTCCCCCAAAAAATGTGTGTATCAGTTTGGCTGGGCCCTGATTCCTGGTACTGTGTGATTTTCCTGTATGTTGTAAACCTGCCTTTATGATGTTAATGAGGGAGGATGGGTGGCAGTTGTGTTAGTAAGGCAGGACTTGATCTACAAGACTGGATTGTGTCCTGAGGCAATGTCTTGAGATATAAAAGACAGAAGTGAGCAGTGAGACAGGGGGACCTCATACCATCAAGAAAGCAGTGTCGGGAGCAGAGCGTGTCCTTTGGACAGGGGTCCCTGCACCGAGAAGCTCCCAGTCCGGGGAAACACTGATGAGAAGGCTGAGAGAGAGAAAGCCTTTCCCTGGAGCTGACACCCTGAATTTGGACTTTTAGTCTGCTTTACTGTAAGGAAATAAATTTATCTTCGTTAAAACCATCCACTTGTGGTATTTCTGTTATGGCAGCACTAGATGACTAAGACATAGCGTTTTTCATGAAAGCTATTTGGGGTGGGGTAAGGAGTGAGAGGTAGTCAGTCTTGAGAAAATTACTCATGTATCAATTTCTTAACTTGTCTTCCATTCAAGTGGAGCCACAATGTTCATTTTCTTGGTGGATTCAAAGTTTATAAAAAATGGGCTGTTCATATGAAGATACTGTTTTTAACTTGCCCACTAGAAATAGAATACTCTTTCAATTATTTTTCCACTATTGGCAATGAGATTACTATAAGCCATCCACACTCTTTGACAAATTGCTCTTGCAACCAACATCCAGATTTTAATCCAGCTCATTGGTGTTAAGGATGTGATCTAGAGTAATAGAAGAGTTTATGCTCTTATATCAAGCTAAGTTACGGGTATGAGGATCAAACTTCCATATTTGCCTTCCTGGCCTGGGGCCATCCATTTCAGTAGAGCAATGACTGTGTTCCTCTAATTAACAAAGGTATACTTTACAAAGAACTAACTGCTTCTTGTTCATATATTGTTTTGTTTTGTTTTTCTGGGCAACCATTACCACTCTTTATTTCCAAAACTTTTCATCACCCCAAACAAACTCTGTACCCATTAAGCAATAACTTCCCATTCCTCACTCCTCTCAGTTCCCAGTAACCACTAATCTACTTTATGTTTCTATGCATTTGCCTAGTCTAGAACTAAAGCTGTCTCTCTCTCTTTCCCCAGCTACAGAGGGCTGTCTTGCATTAATAATGTGTGGTATTTCCACACCTGAATAGGGTCAACGCATAGAAATAGGGTCATACAATACTCATCTTTTTGTTCTGACTTATTTCACTTGGCATAATGTTTTCAAGTTTCATCCATGTTGTAGCATGATCAGAACTTTATTTCTCTTTATGGCTAAATAATATTACATTTTGTTTATGCATTCATAGGTAATGGGCCACACATTATTTTTAAGTCTACAAATCAATACTTTACTTTTTTAAGGCTAATCAAAATTCCTGTTTCTGAATTAAAGCTTGCCAAATAAAAGTATTTTGCTGGAGAGAAAAAAGTAGAACTTTTAAGAGTGCTTTGCTGAAATTTTTATGTTCCTCTTGGAAAGTACAATAGGAATAGTATGAGCCTGGAAAGAATAAGGTTCTCGACAAGCCATGAAACAGCTGAAGGAAAAGGCTTAAGTTTAAAGAGAATGGGTACAGAGGAGCCCCACTGTTGATTCATAGATGAAAAATGACGTGCATATGTTATATTACCCCTGAGATGCCCTGTTCTCAAGTTATTTAAATGGTTGGCATTACAGTTTCAGCTCTTGGTTCACTAAGGGAGACTAAGTAAGACTTACAGCAGTTGAGTTAAGACTCTAGGAGCCAGATGGTCCCTCGTGCCCTATTTACTACATATCTTTCATTTTGTGCTAAACAGTACCCCAGTTGCCTAAAAGAGTTTATAAGGCCCTGCTAAGGTATGCTTTTGCCAGAAACACTGAGCTGTGGTGAACAGGCTCTTTCTTCTGTTCTTCATTATACTGCATCCATTCTGGGTGATGGTGACAAGAACTAAAGCCGTCTCACTCTCTTTCCCCAGCTACAGAGGGCTATATCTTGCATTAATAAGGTGTGGTATTTCTACACCTGAAGCTACTCTGCTTATTTTCAGGATCAACATTTTAGGGATGGATCCCCTAAGCACTCCTTTTGACAATGAGTTCTACAATGGCCTCTGTGACAGGGTTCGGGATGGAAACACCTTGACATACTACCGCAGACCCTGGAATGTGGCTTCTTTGGCCTATGAAGTAAGTCTCCTCAGAAGACAGCATAACTGTGAAGTTTTTGGCTGAAGAGTTACTTCAATAAATTTAATGATATATGATGGGAAAAATTTAGTACACTGAAGATTTCATGTAAAGATAAGACTCATTTTAAAAGGAGCTTGATCTCTTTAGAAAATACACAGGGGTCCACAATCTTCAGTAACACTTACCTAATAATGTAATTTTGGCAAATACATAGACTCAGTAAAACAAATTATCTAAGACCCTGAGATAAATAAAAATTAAACTAATGCCGTTTGAAGTGGGGATTACACTGCTTCCATGCTATTTGAGTTTTTTCTTAGCCTGCCAATGAAAACCCAAATTTACATTTGTTTTCCTTCAATATTCCCCTTCATAGAGCCTGATTTACTAATGTAAGTGGCTATTTTCACTTACCTCAAACACTTCTAGCTTTTTTGAAACTATTTCTGAAAAGTTATTTTTATACTACACATTGCCATTTCAAACTTAGAACTTTCCTTAAAGTCACATAAATTTTCTAGAACTATACACAGACTGGATCTTTGTTTAAAGAATTAATATTATCACCTTTAGAGAGACCTTCTTTGGTCCAAAGAAGATATAATAAAGATTAATAATTAACTTAGTCTCAAACAAAACCAAAAACCAAACCCATTGCCATCGAGTTGATTCCGACACATAGCGACCCTATAGTAACCCTATAGGACAGAATAGAACTGCCCCATATGGTTTCCAAGGAGTGCCTGGTGGATTTGAACTGCTGACCTTTTGGTTAGCAGCTGAACTCTTAACTACTACCAAAATGGTTTCCTTGTCTCAAACAGGAGCTACAGTAATCTTTTTCTTGAATGACCCCTTTGGCGAAGAAGATTCATAATGTCTGCTTAATTCAGTTATTTATTAAAAAAATTCTTTATTATTGTCAGTCCCACCAGTGTATGTGTATATACATTGTCATTGCTGTTAGGTGCCGTTGAGTCGGTTCCAACTTCTAGCAACCCTATGTGCAACAGAAGGAAACACTACCTAGTCCTGCGCCATCCTCACAATATTGCTATGTTTGAGCCAGGAGTGGATTAACCAGTAAGCAAGGTATGCATGGGCTTCCAGTAAGCAAGGTACACACAGGGTTAATTGTGTTTACTTACCTTTGATGTGGTGAAAAACAGGTGAAATTGTGTACTACAGATTAGTAAGTAAGCACAAGTAAGGCTGAGCGTACATTGCTTATTGGGTAATCTGTCCTGGTTTGAGCCCATTGTTGCAGCAACTGTGTCAATCCATCTTGTTGAGGGTCTTCCTCTTTTCTGCTGACCCTCTACTTTGCCAAGCAGGATGTCCTTCTCCAGAGACTGGTCCCTCCTGATAACATGGCCAAAGTACATGAGACAAAGTCTTGCCATCCTCACTTCTAAGGAACATTCTGGTTGTACTTCTTTCAAAACAGATTTGTTCTATCTTCTGGCAGTATATATGTGTGTGTGTGCATGTGTGTATATATATATATTTAAATAAGTATAGTTAACGTCACTTTTGTTTGTAACAATATTATAAATCAGCCCTATACATTGCAGCCTGAAATGATTCCACTCTTCTGAAACTGACTGGCAATTTTTTGGCATGTGACCACATTGTCATATTTCTTATACCTATAAGTTCAGAAAGGAATCAGTTTCCCACAAATCTCAGGGAACATTTTGGGTTGTTTATATTTCCCCATTACCAACACCAAACTCAATATATACTGTTTCCATCCCAAACCCTGTCACAGGTTAGGTGAGGTGTTCAGCAAATTTTTGTTGGATAAGTTAATTATTCAAATCTTGTTTTAGTTATTAATTGGAAATAATTTAACTGCCTTTTATTTTTTGAAAGAATTCTATTGGTCCACTATTACATAGGAATATGCCTTAATAATGACATCTTACTCTAATACACTCATACTCTCTCATGTCATATCCCTCCTCTCCAGTGGGGATCTGACTCTAGAACCATGCTATATAGGACATAATCCCAGCTCTGCCCCTTATGTATGTATATAAGTTAAAACATGTAAAACACTCAGAAAGTTTCTGGCACATAGAAAGCGCTCAGTAAAAATTAACTATTATTCTTTTTTAGAATATAATTAGTAAGAGACTTAGCTAAATTAAATACATAATTAGTGGTTAAGTAATAGGTCAAATTTTAAGTCAGAAGTAATGACCAAGAACACCCAGAGCCTGCAAATATGAAAAAAATTTTAAAAAGATGATTACATTTACAAATTAGGTCCTTTCCTACTTATTTTTCTTTGCTTCTCTTTTCACTTTTCTTGTTGAAAGTAATGATTCGTCAGCCTAAATCAGATTTACCAGCACCAGTTGCCTTCGAGTCGATTCTGACTCATGGGTTAGTTCTCCTTAAACCTAGGTCTCCATGAAAATGTAAGATTTAGGAAATGAACAAAAGTTTGCAACATGCACCCAGATTATAATCATTCTTTCCATGCCAAATCCTGTCAAAGTCCTGGGTGATTTCTATATCATGTGAACTGCCAATTATTTCTTGTTGCCTCAGTAACTTCCTAGATCCATTCCACTACAGCTACTCACATTTCCACCTATAAAATTGACCTTGTCTTCATCAGAACTGTGCTGCCTCTGAAATCTGAAAACCTGAAAAATCCAGCCTTTAATCCTTTGACTCACCATAACTGTCTAATATCTCAGCTGTTACCCTCACTTGTGCCCACTAACCTGTTCTTAAACCTCATCAAGACCTCCAGTTTCTTGGCGTCTACTTTTCTCCCAATCTATCTTGCTCTTCCCATCTTCAGTTCTTCCCTCTTTCCAGTCCAGATCTATTTTGACCACTCTTGCCAGTATTATCAAAGTTCTTGCTTTCCATTCTTTCTATAATCCAGAAAAACTCCAACTTTGGATGAACCCTATTATTTTTATGCCCACTTCTAAACATATGTTGCTGAGCACTGTAAAGAAAATCACGCTAACACAAAGATGGGTGACATAATAGCCTCAATAGGTCCTCCATGCTGATCAGTAGGTCTACAACATCCTCCCTAGGCTGCATTTCTTTCCAGTTTTCACAGGGGCAGTTTAAAGCTCAAGCCCCTTACCTTACAATCCTGAGCTCAGCTTACAGATGGCATTAGTTACAACTCGACAGAGAATACAAAGGCAAAAATTTCCTCAACTGTTTCTTCCACTTATGTACAAACTTGTCCCTTAGTCCATCTTTAAATCTTTGTGTTTCGTCTCACTAGAAAGCTTACCTTTCCATTCCATACTCCTGTCTCCTCAGATAGCTTACTAGTCATTCTCGTAAACCTTTATTTAACCTCTCCCATCCATTCCCCAACCTTTTTCATATACTTTCCCCAAAGTCCATCCCAAGCTCCTTTTTGACTCCTTGTACTTGAGATAGCCCTTGAATATTGATTCCCGGAGTTCCTATCTTGTTTCACTAATCTCTCTCTACATATTTTCCTTGAGTCATTTTATTCCCTTCTCACTTTAGTTTTTACCTCTGTCCTGAGGCTTTATAAATCTTATATTGCAAGCCCACATCTCTCTCTGAGCTAGGTCTCTGTGTAATAAATTGTCCGCCATCATCACCGTCAATAAGCCCAAAGCTGAATTCTCATCTTACTCACAGTTTCCCAAGCTTGCTCCTTGTGCATGAGTTCTCTACCTTGGTAAATGGGAATAATATCTACCTGACATCAAACTCAAAACCTGGAAACCTTCCTGAAGATTTCCTCTAAAGACCCACCTCTCTCAAAGCCCACAATATGCAACCAATCTCCAAGTGTGATTATTATAATGTCTTTTAAATCGGCCTCCTAGTCTCCATTCCTACTGCTGCTCCCTTAGGCTCCCATCGTCTTATTTGGGCTACTATGACAGTCTTCTTACCAGTTTATAAACTCTAGTTTTACCGAACTTCAATCCATTCCCCACATTGCAATGTAAAGACAAATAAATCAGATCATATCACTCTGCTGCTTAAATTTGCTGAATGTCTCCTTGTAGCCTATAGAAAGGAGCCCTGTGGCACAGGGGTTAAATTGCTTGGCTGCTAACCAAAAGTTTTGCAGTTTGAACCTACCAGCTGCTCCATGGGAGAAAGATGTGACAGTCTGCTTCTATAAAGGTTTATAGCCTTGGAAACGCTGTGGGGTCGCTATGAGTCAGAATCGACTCGACGGCAGTGGGTTTGGTTTTTGGTTTTTTTTTAGTCTATAGAATAGCAATCAAGCTTCTTGGCAGAGAGTACAGGGTCATTCCTGATCTGTTGATTGCCAGTTTACCTTCAGCTTTCTCCTCTGATCCTTTGTCTTGGTTAGGTTCCGCTCCTGTAAATGAACACAATACCCTTTGATTTCCTCCCTGTTTTGGTACTTATTTTGCTGTATTATACATATTCTTAAGGAGCCCTGGTGGCACAATTTAAGTGTTTGGGTGCTAACCTAAAGGTCTGTGGTTTGAACCCACCCAGCAGCTCTGCAGGAGACAAGACCTGGCGATCTGTTCCCATGAAGATTGCAGCCTAAGAAACCTTATAGGGCAGTTCCACTCTGTCCTGTATGGTCACTATGAGTCAGAATTGACTCCATGGCTCACAACCACAACAACATACATATTCTCAGTTGATTTCTACTCATCTTATTTACCTTGGAATCTTGAGAAACTAACAGTGTAGGTGCTAAATAAATGTTTATTGAATTAATAAGTACATGCTAGAACATTAAAACTCTTTTAAAAAAAGTTAATGATTTTAATGATGGCAAGAAACTGTAATCAGTAGACACATAATTGGAGTTGCCATTAAAGTTGACAGCAAAACTGCAAACAGAGGATTAATTAACTGCTTGTTCTACTGGCAACTTGAGCTCATTTAGGAAACCTAGCAGAGTAAAGATAAAGTTTATTATACATACTGGTTGGTTGGTTGCTTGGCTTGTTGTATGATGATATTTCCGAAGAGGTAAATATGTCGACAGTCCTTACAGAAACTGTTCTTTTGAAAAATATTGATACTTATACCCATCAAGTCAATTCTGACTCACAGCAACTCTATAGGACAGAGTATAACTGCCCCATAGGGTTTCCAAGGAGCAGCTGGTGGATTCAAACTGCCGACATTTTCGTTAGTGGCTGAACACTTAACCACTGCATCACCAGGGCTCCTAAAAAATACTAGGATCAACAAATTAACTCATATGGATTCAAATCCTGATGGTTCACATATGCCACATTAAGTAACTTGGGCATAATCCTGAGTCATTGAGGAGAGCAACACATCAGAGCTTCATTTTAGATTCTCTTTGTGTTTTGTGAAGATGAATTTCAAAGGCACAAGACCAGAGGGAATGAGAATGGAAGGAGGCTGTTTTATGGTCCAAGAAGGAGATGATAAAAGACTAAACTGGGTCAGTAATAGCAGACATAGAGAGGAAGAGATGAAATGTAGCATATTTAAGAACTAAGAATTTGGCTATGGATGGAAAACTGTATTGCATATGCTCAATTGCCCAGCTTCTGAATTCAGACTTCCTGGTTTGAATTCTGATGTTTCTCCACTTACCATCCATGTACTTTAGGCAACTTACTTATCTTCCCTGATAAGTATTTTCTTTTTATAAAATGGGTGATGATAGTACATACTTCATAGCATTCTTGGAAAGATTAATGAGTAAGTACATGCAAACTGTTTAGAACAGTGTCTGGTACAAAGTAAACTCTAAATAGATGGACTATGTTGAGAGAGGAAGTACAAGGAGACCCCCAGTGGACGATAAGCCACCAAAAGAGATCTGGGCAGTGGGGTGGGTGAGAAACCTACCAAAAGAAGAGGCCTTCCTAAAAAAGTGAGGCTTAAGCAAAGCCTTGAAATAGAATTAACCAGGCCAAGGTGTGTAGAATGTGTGCGAGTGTGTGTGAGTGTGAGAAAGAGTGTGAATGCATGGAGTGTGTGAGAGTGTGTATGTGTGTGAGTATATGCGATGTGTGTGAGTGTTATGGAAGGATTGGGGGTGAGGGCCGAGGGAACATTTCAGAAAGTAAAAGCAGCCTAAAGGGCCCCTGCACCGTGAAGAAGTATGGGCCATAGAAAAACAGAAAGGTGCATAGGTGACTGGAGCACAGTCAGGGAGAGAGAAACTCAGGATAAGTCTAGTTTGGATTATATCTTAAAGGCAGTGGGAAGACATCAAAACATTTTAAGCAGGGAGGTGACATGGTACGGTTTTCTCTTCCCCTTTAGGGTGAATACTTTTCCAGCACGCCTTGTTCTAAAGATAACTACATACATTTTAGTCTTCCCCACTGGACAGCAACTTTAGGTTTCCCTCACAGCAAAATTACCCAGTCCATGTTACTGATCCAATCCATGCCACTGCCTGAAGAACAAATCTCTCCTTCCCAGACAACAGTTACATCTATTTCGGGGGACCCCTGGAAAGGGAGCTGAAGTGCTGAGAATTAATAACCTCCCATTGATACCTGGAGTCCTTGAGTGGTGCAAACGGTTAAGCACTTGACTACTAACTAAAAGATTGGTGGTTCAAACCCACCCAGAGGCACCTCAGAAGAAAGCCCTGGTGATCTGCTTGGTCACAGCCATGAAAAACCTATGGAGTGCAGTTCTACTCTCTGCCCACTTGGAATCAACTTGACAGCAATTGGCTTTTTTTTTTTTTTTGGTTTTCATTGATACTGGACAATAGCTACACTGGCAAAGAATATTTTAATTGAAAGTTTGAATTTTTATCTAGTTTATTTTTGTTTTTAATGCAAAATGCATGTGGCGAAAAGAAAAAAGAAAAGTTCACTAGCACAAAAGGTTACGCATGGAAAAGTCAGTCTCCTTTGTACTACTCTTGATGCCCATTTTCCCTTCTCAAGGGAAAACACTCTCTGGGGTCTTTTGGGAGCCCTAGTGGTGCAGTGGTTAAGAGCTCGGCTGCTAACCAAAGGTTGACAGTTCAAATCCTCCAGCTACTCCTTGGAAATCTTATGGGGCGGTTCTACTCTGTCCTATAAGGTCGCTATAAGTCAGAAACTACTCAACAGCAACGGTTTACTTGGGTCTTTTGACCATTTTTCCAGCAATTTTCTATGCACAGATAAGCATTTCTTTCTTTGACAAGCAGTAGAGTGTAAAGGTGAGAAGAACCATTTTTGAAGCCAGACATCCCAGGGACAAGTTCTGGCTCTTTAACCTATATGAGTTAACACATGTAAAATAATTAAAAAGTGCCTATAAACCTTCAGTAAGTGTTGGTTTTATTATTTGTTTGTTTAAGCTGTATATGTGTCCTGTAACTTGTTTTTTTAATTATTAATAGAGATGTTATCTTTTGAAAACTAGTTATATCGTAAGCCCTTCCTGTGCATTACCTCACTGACTCCTCACAACAACCTTTGAGCTAGGTAAGATGAGTGTCCCTGTTTTACAGATTAGGACTCTTAGGCACAGAGAGATTATTGTGTAATGTTCTCCAAATCACGGAGCCTGGAAATGGTGGAGCCGGGATTTGAACTCCAGCAGTTTGACTCCAGAGCCTTCACTCCTAACTCTTTTGCTAAGCTCCCTTTCAAAGGATTGTTTAAATTTTTGGTTTGTTTCTGTTCTTTTAATTTGTGTGTGTGTGTGTGTTGTTATTGTTGTTGTTTTTAACAATACTTTTTTATTGTTTTCAGGTCAAAGCCGATAAAAATTTCAGAATCGAGCATTTTGAAGAACATTTTCAAGCATTCACAAGTATCATTGAAGAGAAGACAAAAAATTTTAATGCAGATTTCTCTCTAAAATTCACACCCACTGAAGCTAATAAAAAGGATAAAAATGAAGCTAACGAACATGCTAACAGAATAGACTCTCAAAGTCATGAAGATAAAGGAAAAAGGTTTCGGTTTAGTTATTCCAAAAATGAAACTTACCAACTATTTTTGTTATATTCTTCACTAAAGGTAAGACCAGATGCTTCATATAAAGAATATACTGGCATATGTTTCAAACTAACCAAACTCCTTCATTTAAGTTTAAAAGTCTAGAACAGATAGAAGTCGGAGCGAAAATAACACTCAACAAATCCTCAAATATGTGGTTAGAATGGCAGGAAGAAGAATGTTACACGGAGAAAAATCTGATGGGAGGTTTGGTTGCAGTAAGTGGGTCAGATGTTTGGTGGTAGTGAGCAAAGACCAAGTGTAATAAGAATTCAGAGCATACTTTTTTAATTAATATTGTAGTAACACACTGTTTGATTTACACTTCATCAGAATTAACAACGAATTCTGTAATTCATTGCAATGCCTTAGAATGCCACCATTTACCTACTACAAAGTGTGTCTCTAAAGTAATGATGCCATGAAATTGTACACGTTACCCATGAAATTGGCCTACTTACTTTGTCACCCTGCCTTTAATTTGAGACTTTGAAAATGCGTTTGTTTTTTAACATTTAAGTCAGGTTTAGAAATTTCTTTCACCATCTTTGGAAGAAATTTAAAATATACTTTTTGTAATCAGCATGATGCTGGTTAAATGCTCATTCTTCCTTTTCTAACTCCACGTTCACCTATTAACCTTACCCTGCTTAAAAACAATGGATATTATTGCTGATGTCAGATGGGTCTTGGCTAACAGCAGAGAATACCAGAAAGATGTTTACCTGTGTTTTATTGATTATGCAAAGGCATTCAATTGCGTGGATCATAACAAATTACAGATAACATTGTGAAGGATGGGCGTTCCGGAACACTTACTTGTGCTCATGAGGAACTTGTACATAGATCAAGAGGCAGTCATTCAAACAGAACAAGGGGACACTTGGTAGTTTAAAGTCAGGAAAGGTGTGGGTTGGGGTTGTATTCTTTTACCGTACTTATTCAATCTGCATGCTGAGCAAATAATCCGACAAGCTGGACTATATGAAGAAGAATGCAGCATTAGGATTGGAGGAAGGCTCATTAACAACCTGCGATATGCAGATGACACAACCTCACTTGCAGAAAGTGAAGAGGACTTGAAGCACTGATGAAGATCAACGACCACAGCCTTCCGTATGGATTACATCTCAACATAAAGAAAACAAGAATCCTCACAACTGGACCAATAAGCAACATCATGATAAATGGAGAAAAGATTGAGATTCTCAAGGATTTCATTTTACCTGGATCCACAATCAACACCCATGGAAGCAGCAGTCAAGAAATCAAAAGATGCATTGAATTGGGCAAATCTGCTGCAAGAGACCTCTTTTAAGTGTTGAAAAACAAAGATGTCACTTTGAGCACTAAAGTGCACCTGAACCAAACCACAGTGTTTTTTCAATTGCCTCATATGCATACAAAAGCTGGACAATGAATAAGCAAGACCAAAAAAGAATTGACACCTTTGAATTGCAGTGTTGGTGAAGAATACTGAATATACCATGCACTGCCAAAAACGAACAAATCTGTCTTGGAAGACCACAGCCAGAATTCTCCTTAGAAGCAAGTATGGCGAGACTTCGTCTCATGTGCTTTGGACATCGTATCAGGAGGTATCCGTCCCTGGAGAAGGACATCATGCTTGGTAAAGTAGAGGGTCAGTGAAAAAGAGGAAGACCTTCAACAAGATGGACTGACACAGTTGCTGGAACGATGGGCTCAAGCATAGCAATGATTGTGGGGATGGTGTAGGACCTGGCAGTGTTTTGTTCTGTTGTGCGTAGTTTCACTATGAGTCGGAAACAACTCGAAGGCACCTAACAACAACAACACTTGAGAAGAGATTATGGGTATTAAAAGTAAAAGCAAGGAATCGTGTTAGAAAGCTATTTCAGGAATCCAGGTAAAAGATGATGGTGGTCATACAGGACAGTTGTAAGAGTCCAGGTCCAAGGTTTTCGGTCTGAACAACCAGACAAAGAAGGCTTCAGGTACAGCACGTTTGGAGAAGAAGATCAGGATTTAAGCTTTAATTATGTAAAGTTTGAGATGTCTATTAGACATTCAGCTGGCAATGTCAGCTAAGAAGTTTTAGTTATGAGTCTGGAGTATGGGAAAGAGATTTGGACTTGAGCTATAAATCTAGGAATTGTTACCATATACTTGTTGCCATAGAGTCAATTCTGATTCATAGCAACCCTATAGGACAGAGTAGAACTGCCCCATACGGTTTCCAAGGAGCAGCTGGTGGATTTGAACTGTCAGCCTTTGGGCTAGCAGCCTAGCTCTTAACTACTGAGCCACCAGAGCTCCTGTTACCATATAGATGTTACTTAAAGCTATGGGTCCACAAGTGAAGTTAATGTAGATAGAAAAGAGAAGGAGACCAAACTGGGGGAACTTCAACATGAAAAAGCCTGGGGAAAGAGGAAGAACTAGCAAAGGAAACGAAGAGGAAGTGGCCGATGTAGTTTCCTTTAACCTTGCTATTCAAAATATGCTTGATGGACCAGTTGTATCAAATCTCTGGGAAGCTAGCATCTCAGACTTCACCTCAGATCTACTGAATCAGAATTGCCTTTTAACAAAATTCCCTAGGTGAATTGTTTGCCTTTTACAGTTTGAGAAGCACTACCATAGAAGATAAGAGAAGAAACTGTATCAAGGAGAAAGGAATGATGGACTGTGTGAAGCATGCTAATATGTCAAAGAAGATTGGCTTTAACATTATGAAGATCCTGGGTGACCTTGACAAGAGCAGTTTTGTTGGAGTAGTGGGGGTCAAAGTATGATTGGATTGGATTTAAGAGAAAATAAGACGAGAGGAATAGGAAATGGCCAGCATAGAAAACTCTTTCACGGAATTATGGTACTATGGGGACAAAGAACTGGGAAGCAGCTAGTGGGACAAGTGAGGTCAAGAGATTTTTTTTTTTAATGGAATTAAAAATAGCATATTTGGATGGAAATGATCCATGATCTACCTTTTAAATAAATTGAGCCAAATAACATCACATGTCTTTCTGCCTCCAAACCCAAAGATACACCTCCTATTTTAGCAATCAATGAAAAGAAATTCAAATATGCTGATCTTTAAAACTCCATTGACAATTATTATGAAAGACAGCAGATGGAGATCTCACATGACTCCTCATATATAGAGTAAGTTCCATTAAGATGTTTTGTCAGTGGCTGAGAAGTTAAGCCATGCCGTGGGAACAACAGTGCTTCAAGAGTACCATTAGAACATTTGGTATGATGTTCATATACACCAAGATATATCTTTAAAAAAATAAAATGTTTTAAACTCCCACACAATCAACATATGTTAACCACAGCCACTGCAGGATCATTTCAAATAATCCATCTACAAAAACCATGGATGTTTGTTGCAATTTTGTTTTGTCTCAGACAGTTTATCGCACTGAATCACATAATTCTCTGTCACTGCCCCAGTGTTCTCTTGGATATTTAAGACATCATCTCTGGGAACATTTAACTATTGAGTTGTTTAGGTTGGCTTGAGATCCATGTCTTACAATATTGTCTGTCCTATGGACTTTCAGTACTGATGCTACCACACACTGCTTGTGTGATTTTTGAGCTAATAAAACATTGGGTCACAGTTTCTTCATCTGAAAAATAAGAAGATTGTTGTTGTTTTTAGGTGCCATCGAGCCGATTTTCAATTCACAGCATCTCATGGGACAGAGTAGTACTGTCTCATAGGGTTTTGTAGGCTATAATCTTTACAGTAGCAGATTGCCAGTTCTTTCTCCTAAAGAGTCTCTGGGTGGCTTCGAACCACCAACTTTTCAGTTAGCAGCTGAGCGCTTAACCGTTGCTCCACCAGGCCTCCTTATATAGGGCTTTATGTATAATGTCTACATTTCCTTCCATTGTTAACATTTTAAAAATCAACTTAGATGTAATTTACATACAATACAATGTAAGTGTACAGCTCCATGCATTTTGATCATTGTATATACTTTTATAACCACCTCCTCAAACAAAATACAGAACATTTCCATCATCCCAGAAAATTCCCTCATGCCCCTTTGTAATCAATTCCCCAACTCTTGAGAGACAACTACCAAGAAAATTTCCCTCACCATAGCTGAGTTTTGCTTGTTCTAGGAACTTACTAAATGGAATCATACAGTATATACTCCTCTACATCTGGCTTCTTTCACTCAGCATAATATTTTTGAGATTCATTTATGTTGTTGCATGTATCAGCAGTGTGTTCCTTTTTATTGCTGACTAGTATTCTATTATATGAAAAGACTACAATTTGTTTGTTGAGTCGCCTGTTGATGAATATTTGAGTCATTTCCAGTTTTAAACTATCCTGACTAAAGCTTCTGTGAAATTCTTATACAGGTCTTTTTGTGAACAATGTTTTATTGATCTTGATCTTAGGCAAATACATAGAAGTGGAATTGTTGGTTATGGGGTAGCTGTGCATTTAACTTTATAAAAGACTGCCTAACAGTTCTCCAAAGTGGTTATAACATTTTTTTACTCTCTCACCAGCAATGTATGAGAATTTGAGTTGCTGCAAATCCTCATCAGCACTTGGAATTGATAGTATTTCAATTTTAGTCATTCTCCGGGGTTGAAGTGGTATCTCACGGTCAATGCTTAAAAATTTATTGCCTGTGGAAATTCTAAATTTTGAGATTTTTTAAAATTTGAAATAATGACAATAAAACTCATATTTCTCTTCTTCTTTTGCTCTTCAACAAAGGAAAAAATGTTTCTGCATGTGAAAGGAACGATTCAGGTGGGAAGATTTGTGATGAGAAATCGGCGTGGCATGCTGACAACAACTTTTGTGGATGACGTAAAAGCTCTGCCAACTAACTATGAAAAGGGGGAATATTTTGCATTTTTGGAAACCTATGGAACCCACTACAGTAGCTCTGGGTCTCTAGGGGGAATCTATGAACTAATATACGTTTTGGATAAAGCCTCCATGAGGGAGAAAGGTATGCCTAGAAAAAGTGCCATTTTGACCAATCATCTTTCCTTTCCCTAACTTCTTTAACTGGTTAAAGCTTTAGAACAAAGAGCTCTGTTATGTGCTCCTTTGAGAGAAGAACTCTCTTTCTGTGCTTGGGCCCCTAAAACCCCATCTAACAGCAAACTGACTTCCATAATGGACAAAATGACTAGGTTACGCACTGTTCAGTAGCATTACTGAGAAATGACCCCAAAGTATATCGTGGTTTAGTATCTATTGTATGGTGGTGCTGCTTTTAGTGAAATACTATGTAAAAAAGAAAGAAGATACAAGAGAACTAATTTACGTATTTCTTAATCAGTAGACTGGTTCATTACATATCTGACAATTATATTAATCTTCCAAAGTATTCTGCAGTATTGGAAAGGAAACACTGTTCTAAATTTTCTTTTGGTGGTGGGGTTTGGGGGAAGCAATATTAGCACTATAAGAGTCTGACCTCCTAAGACAAGGGTGGAAAATTCGTATTATCTCATGTGACAATTCAGATCAATTGGCAGTGGTTGAATTGGGTCCGTGTTGAGTAGGCTTCTGGACACATTTAAAGTCACAGGAAAAAGGGCCCTGGTTGATCAGCAAATGTCTGCCTTGGGTATAGGATTGGCCTGTATGCTACATAATTACCATCCAGGCCTAAAAACTGCGTCTAAGCCCCTTAAGAGTAAACTGGCTTCAAAGTGACTATGTTAATCATTTTTAATCATGTGTTTTGTGAGCAACTATGGCTAGCTATAATTAGCCTTTAAGGAAGTGATAGATACCAGCATATCTCCCCACTCTGCCTTCGAACCTTTTGGGTGTATTTCGTAGGGATGGAAATATTGCCCAAAAAACATTTCCATAGCTATTCCTCCATAGCCTATGGCTATATCAAGTGAAGAGTGGGATGTGGCCCTAATCTTAAAGCCTGATGCTGTCTCCACATTCAGTTAACACTTTATGGATGCAACAAACATGACATGGCCAGAGCCAACCACAGCCAAATCTCACTGTGGAACCCTAAGTCTTGTCTTGGGCCAGTTAGAAGCCTTGCCAGGGAGATCACAATATGAGATTGCTTGGCTCACAGTGCCTCACAGGGTTATATCTACAGCATAGTGAGGTCACTATGAGCTGGTGGACTATACTGATAGAGCTATCACATAGGGGCACAAGGAGATTTCCTGTTGAGTAACTTGACAGGTCAGAAGAAGAGGGCTCAAGCAAGGATGATCAAAACACAAAGAACCCCTCAGGCAAAAAGTTGTTTTGGTGAGAGAGCCCTATGGCTGAAATCTTTAATCCTAAACAGTTCAGAGCTACTCACTTAAATCTATTTACCTTTTGGCTGTAGAGACAAGAAAGGTAGGTCAGTCTCAGTGCCTTTGATGAGGAAGTCATCTTTCTCACTTCTCCAGTACCTGAGGATCAAGGTATTGGACTTGGGATGTCCAAGGGTCCATGGCTGAGGCAGAGAATCTAAGCCCTTTGAAGGTGCCCTAGGTATTTTTCACTTTTATCTTTGGAATCAGAGTCCTCATCCTTCTTACGTTAAGGTTTGAAATCTAGAATTTTGAATTTCTCACATTGTCTTCCATTTTTCTCTTCCCTCTTTCCTTCTCCCTGAAAATTTTACCTGGTAATTCTCAAGTTCTCACTATTTGTGGGTGCACAAGAAATATTTGTTGAATGAATAAATGCCAAAATGCTTCCAGATCTATTCTTCTAAATCTCACTGTGGAACTCTGTGATTGATTTAATGTCTCCCTTTCCTTTTTCAGAATGCATGTTAGCTTCCAGGACATATAACCACATATCTCTATGTGTGTATGTATATGTGTGTGTGAGTGATCTGAAATGAAAAATAACAGCAAAAATGGGCATGGTTGACAAGCTGAAGCCTGGGCTGTTTATCCCTAGAATAAAGGAATTATTCCTTCTTTTAGGTATAGGAATAGAAATAAATGATAGACTTTAAGTAAATGTTAGAATTTCTCTTCCTAATAACTATTTGGGGCATCCACATACCACAGTGTGTCAGCTTCCAAGATTGATATCTACTAAATAGCATTTATAAGACCAACAAAGTTGTCATATATATAATACAATTGCCCAAAGTCATGAATCAGCTAACTAAATGATGAACTGAGTCTTCCAAAGAGGATCAGGAGATGTTGGTGCATCCCATGACCAAATTATGAAGTCAGTATACCGAAGTGCCTAAAAGCCAGACAACTCTGGGTTCCAATCCCTACCTGGCTAGTTACTAGCTGAGTACCATCAGCAAGTTACTTACCTGCTCTGCAATTCTGTGTCCTCATCAGTAAAGTGAAGATAATAATAGTACCTACCTTATAAGATCAATGTGAGAATTAAATTAGTTAATACATACAAATGTTTAGAATGATGCTGGACATGTAATGAGTATTCAGTAAATATTAGATATTACGGTCCTCCCTCTGGAGACCTTGGTCAACACAAATGGTTAAGCGCTCAACTACTTACCAAAAGGTTGTTGGTACGAATCCACCCAGAGGCATCTTGGAAGAAAGTCCTGATAATCTGCTTCCAAAAGGTCACAGCCTTGAAAACTGCAGTTCTACTCTGCACACATAGGGTCACCATGAATAGGAATCAACTTGACAGCAACTGGTTTGTTGTTTGGGTTTGTGTATATGGTATTAGAAAGTATAAGACTGTACTGTAACCCTTGTAGTCTGAGCTCTATCCCTTTTAACCAAGTGGAAAATTTAGTATTTTCTTTGCCATTAAGTTGACAAGTTAATAAAGTTAAAAGGAAGCCACTGAATTCTAATACAAGAAAAGGGAAGGCAGATATGACCCTGCATTTGAGTTCAGTAATGATATCTAGAATTCCAAATAAGTATGTTTCTTACAAAATACCAAAATTGTGATTTATTTGAATGTGATGTTGACACATGTCATCTAATAATTTTCAAATATATTAAACAGATGTTGAAATAAGAGATATACAGAGATGCCTCGGGTTTAATCTGGATTTGTCTATAAATCGTGGCGCTGAAATCACAGTAAAAATTAATAAAAAGGATTGTTTAAAGAGGGGTGAAGGTAGACTTGGTAAGTATGGCCTAACTTTTTAGGTTAAAAAAAAGAGGGTATAAATGTGCACCGCCATCTCATTATCAGCCCTCTGTGTTGTCTATTCTCTTTATTTAAAAAACTAACGGTGCTGAAAAACTATTTTATCTGTGTGGTGGTTTCCATAGCACTATACACACCAAGGAGCTCTGGTAGCACAGTGGTTAAGAGCTTGGCTGCTAATCAAAAGGTCGGCAGTTTGAATCCACCAGCCACTCCCTGGAAACCCTATGGGGCAGTTCTACTCTGTCCTAAAGGGTCACTGTGAGTCAGCGTCAACTCGATGGCAATGGGTTTGGTTTGGTTTTTATACCCACCAACAGTCTGGGGCCATGTAATTTCATTAGTACACTAATTTGCAGACCGTGCAGTGCACAAGTCTACAGGGTACCATCCACACTGTAGTCAGTGTAGATTTGTGTATTTGTCATCGCAATGGTAGAAGGTCAAGGGTAGAAACTATCCTGAGGAAAAGTCTCCTTTTTTCCTCTAATTTTTGTGAAGGTTCTGAATGGACTAGTAGCAGTGCTGTCCATCAAAAAAGGAGAAGGCCAAAAGCATCTACCCAACCTAACCTCCCACCTGCCTTGACATCCCTAATCCATCCTTGACATTAAATCAGTGCATAACCTTTTCTTAAATACAAATAACTTTGATACAAGTACTACTTTCAGTTGTTAATCCTTAGCAGATTTACAATAATGAGGTAGTGGTGTAGTTCTCAACTTTTACTCTAATCAGAACTACCTGAGTAAATTTTTGAAAATACAGATACCTGGCATCCATCCTTAAAGAGTTGACCGATAGAAGGAAGGCAGTTGCCAGGAGGGAGAAACCTGGGCATTGATATTTTTAAAACATACCCACCACTAATGCGTGGCCACCATTGGAAACCACTGACAAAACGAAAAGAAAACCGAACTTGCCATCAAATGTCCTAATTTCCATAGTTGGCCCTTAACTGTGTAAATTTGTGCTATTCCCTCCATCCTTCTGAGCCTCAGTTTTCTCATCCACAAAAATGAGGAAGGATAGACAAAAATCATCCTGAAATTCCTTTCCAGTTTTAAAAATTCTCAACTCTAAAAGCTTCACAAGAGTTTATTAAAAGTGGGTTCAGTCTGGAGAGGGGGACTGACGGGGATGGATAGGGATTTGGGGTGAAAAGAAATCTCACCTTTTGCTTTATTCTTTTTTGTACTCTTTCTTTTATAATGTTACATTATTTAAAAATGTATAACAAGCCTATGCAAAATATAATTATGAAGGTAAATCTGTAATAAAAAATTCATAGTACAGCCAAAAGCCATGTCTGTCCATATGTGCATGTATATATGTGTTGGGATTTGAATTATCAATGTATCTATAGTGCCCATATCATTTTTACTTAAAAAAAAATAATGACGGAATTCTTCAGTTGGCTAGATAAATATGGCCATCAAGCTCTGGTGTGGTAAAAATTGCCCTTATAGATTTGGTGTGAAAAAATTATACAATGTTTATAATTCAAATTCAATAAATACACAGGGGCTCAATAAATGTTTATCGAACATGATCTTGATGGCTGATCACACACTTACAAATGCTTCACTTATGTTTCCCTTTTCTCAGTAAACATCACTAGTGATAACCTCATAGATGATGTTATTTCACTCATACGAGGAGGAACCAGAAAATACGCCTTTGAACTGAAAGAAAAGCTTCTCAAAGGAGCCAAGACAATTGACGTGACTGACTTTGTAAATTGGGCTGATTCTCTAAATGATGCTCCGGTGCTCATAAGCATGAAAGTAAGGAATGTTTATTTCCAAGTAGGAGATTATGTCATTTTCTTATAAAATGGCAGATTTGGTTCAGATGAACAATTAACATCATCTGGAGGAGAGGGTGGAGCATTCAAACACACTCCTATCTCACCCCTGGAAAGTAGGGTGGCATAGAAAAAAGGGTGGAGTGGGGGGTCAGACCAACCTGGGTTAAGTTCCTGTCCCTCACTAGATTGTGACATTCTCCGACTTCTTCAACATTTGATTCTCTGGGGTTCAGTATTTATCCTGAAGAGTCAGTAAGATCGCTCATATAGAGCCCGTAGTACAAACCGGCACAAAAACAGTACTCAGGAATTGTGAGTTCCCTTCCATCTGCCCTTGGTTCTCCCTTCCCTTCACGTGGCATCACGCTACCTCTTCAGACACAGGAGAATCTTGTTTATTAAGAGTTTTTATGCAAAGGAGGGAGTCCCTGAGTGGTGTAAATGGTTACACACTCAGTTAATAACCGAAAGGTTAGAGGGTCTAGTCCACACTGAGGCACCTCTGAAGAGAGGCCTGGAGATCTACTTCTGAAAGAGCACAGCCACTGAAAACCCTATGGAGTGCAGTTCTACTCTGAAACACATGGGGTCGCAATGAGTGGGAACTGACCAGACAGCAACTGGTATATCTGGTATACAAAGGAATCCATAAGATCTCTAAGGGAAATCCATAGGGTGTCTAAGAAAATAAGACTAAGGGGTGAGTATTATTCATATGGTCAGGAAATTCCTTCCTTTTTGTATTTTGATTATAACAGTCTTCAGCTTTAAATCCTTTGGCAATTCATTCTAGTGCTTATTCTTAGGGGGAACACTGAATTATAATTGTAAAGACACAAATGTCAATGTTTTCTAGCCTCATCTTTCTCTCTCCCAACTAAAAAGGGTATGTTTTTCTTTACTCCTTCTTTCGTTCCTGATATAGTTAGAAAAATTTTTTTCCACTTCCTTTTCTGTCCTTCAGTTTTCCCTGTATGTTTCACAATTTTCTTACCCCAGGCTAAATTTATCTCTGAGCTCCTAACTTCTGTTTAACTCACTTGAGTTACAGACAAGTTGTCTTTTTCGATAGTACCAGTTAGTGTAGAATTTTGTTTCTTCATTCTCTGTTGTCTTTAAAGAATGAGTAAAGCCTCCAGAACTCCCTTAGAGCTCAGAAAGTTAATAATAGTTATAGAAATATAGCTATTCATAGATATGCTAACATATTTATGACACTTTAAATACTTTGTCCAAAAATGGGACAAAGAGGGAGGAAAAAACTTGCCAAATAAGCAGGTTCATAAATTAAAATCAGAAAACACTCTTATTTTGTTCAATTTAAATCTTATTTCAGGTTCATTATCTTGAACTCACTGAAATAAGTCTATGTAGGAATATCTTAACTAAGGAAAGAATTGATTATTTAGGTGGATATTCACATTCAGATAGACACCTAAAGTAGCTTATCGTCTCATCTCTGCAAACCAAGTTCAACTGTTCTGAACTGTATGGATGCTAGGGTTTTCTCTGAAGAGGTCTTAATTTTATATATATAT